AATAAAGTCTTTCTGATTCTGACTACTTTTACAACATCAACAACAACAACAAAAAAAAACAAAACCCTGTAGAATGAAGGAGGGCATCACATGAAAGCACATGTTTTTTTTCCCCTTTTTCTTTTCTTCATTGAGTTAAGAACTGGTGATGGATACACTAGAGGCTGTCTTTTATACGTTGTGGCTTCCTCCATTTAGGTTCAAATTAGTGTGATGCTTGAAAGTGTCCAGTGAAGCGCAATTACTCCCAGCAAATGTCTTAAACCTAAAGTACAAAGTAACAAAGTATTTGTATTTCATTATTACCCATTTCTGCTCTTGGAGAAAGAGAGTACATTCAAACTTAAAGCTTTTTTTGTTGCCTTTTGTTTCACACACACATTAAACCACACAGGTAAAACTGAGTAATGAGGACAATTGATAGACCATTGAGTTTGTGACAATTGCGATTGCCTTTGTATCATGCTAAAGCCAGAGAGAGAAACCCAGACAGATACTAAGCAATCTGTGGGGCTTTTTAGTTCAGCTGAATTCAACTCAACTTAATTCAGTTCAATTACATTTTATTTATATAGCACCAAATCACAACCCCAGCATTCATATTTAATAGTTCATAGGTATTTCTAACACATCGTACCAGTCAGACCTATTAGTAGATCTAATTTTACCACAGCTGAAAGGAACTTGACAGGTGCATGACAGTTCATAATACCCCCAGTTTTCCTCCAATCAAAGAAGAGAAACAAACCTACCTTCCTCTATTCTGCATTAAAACAATTGGTCAGTAAAAATCTGTTGCATTGCAAGTGATTAATGAGAGGCAAGCCATAACATAACAAGTTTTCATTTGCATCTTTTAGCCAAATAATGGATGTAAAGATAATATAACTCTGCTGTTTACGCTGTTCTGTTTATCATATATTTTCTAACCCTACAGACTTTTTTCTTGTTGGAAGCTAGCTGTTCATTCTGAAGGTGTAGCAAGATGCAAAATGTGGCACAGTTGTTTGTGCCACCAAGTCCAGACAGCTTCCGTCCCTTTAGTCGTGAGTCCCTTAAAGCCATCGAAAGAAGGATTGCTGAAGAGAATGCCAAGAAACCCAAACAAAAGAAGGAAGAATGCAAAAATGAAATTAAGCATACACCCAGCCGCGACCTAAAGGAAGGCAAATCACTCCCCCTTGTATATGGGGACATTCCAGACGGCCTGGTGTCGATACCACTGGAGGACCTGGATCCCTACTACAATAATCAGAAGGTAGGTTTGTTTGAATTTAACCTTGAGCACTAAGCTCAAAGTTTAGATCACTGCTCTGAACACAAGAGAATCAGGATTGGATTGTGCCTCATAAGGAAGAACGCTATTGTGACAAAGAAAACATTTTTCCATTTAGATCAAGTCATCATTTGTGACACTGCATGCAGGTATTATTATGGTACTTTTGGCTTTAAAATGTAAAAATGATTTTAATGACATTTGTCATCAATATATAAAGGTGCTTATTAATTATTGCTGAAATTTAGTAAGCAAGATATAACTACTCTTATATCTTGGTCAGCTGGCGGTAATGTGCAAAAGTCTTGAACCACACTTGATTACCACTGCAAAGGAGGTAATGTTTTTGATTGCATGTGCATGTGTCATTCTGTCTGTAAACACTTTTGATCTGACTCTGTTTCAATATTGATCTGAAGGTTAAAATGAAAATACTGCTATATAGAGCTATTTAAAATTTAAAACTACATTTCTTGCTGGCACTGATGGTATTGACAAAATAAAGGTATACAGGGAATGATACATGGTAATATCACATTACTTTGACCTTATTTGACCTCTAATTAGAGGTCAGATGTAATTTTCATAAAATGTTTGTATTAGCAAAATTTAGGAAAGGGCACTGGTGTATGGGGATTCTAAATTTCACATTACTCCATACTTTATTTGACCTCTGATCTCACTTTTATGTTTTCATCATTTTACATCATGTGATATAGAATGTATTATATTTATAAATAAAGTATTGTCAGCAAAAGGAAATTAGTCTACATAGATTAAAAAAGAATAGAAAATAAGTATGCTTTACATTATGCCAAGTACATTAAAATGTGTTTCAACGGGGCAAATAACAAATGGCTGCACTATGTACTTGCTTTTACCACACTAAAAACATCTTAAAATACATTTAAAAAGAAGAAAGAAAATAAAATGAAGATGTACAAACATAATATGGTTTCCTTAATAGTAAATAACTGCACAGAGCTGCCTTAGTGGAGGTTTGGACTTTTTGCTTTCAAGGAATCAGACTTTCTTGTCACTTGTAATTCTTGAAATTGGTGTTGAGCAATAGTTCTCAAGGCTTCCTGAAATTTTTTCTTTGGTCATTGGCTGGTTTTACACTCATTTTCAGAAAAAATCCAAACCTATATGGCCATGTATGAAAAACTGATTGCCCCCTAAACTTAATAACTGATGACAAAATTACCCCAAGAGCACATCGATCATTCATGAAAGAGGTCACAAAAGACCCCAGAATACGTCCAGAGAACCGCAGGTCTTATTTTCTCCACTTAAGGTCAGTGTTTATGACTCCACCATAAGAATAGAAAAAGAATAAAATAGAATAGCTCTTTATTGTCATTGTACATGTACAATGAATTTATGGGTGCTCCAAACAAACTGTGCAGAAATTCAATATAAATAGTAAGATGAGGAATAAATAACAAGCAGGAGAAATACACACAATCAAGAGGAAAATATACAAACTAGAGGAATATATGCAGGGGTGCACATAAGTGGTCCGCAGGTGCGCATTCGCTGTCAAAATAAAAGACACACACCAGATAAGAAGTTGCAACACGCGTATGTGTAGGATTTTGCATAGGATTTTCTGGAGGAGGACAGATATTTGTTTAGAACTCTTAAAGATGTCGAAGAAGTAAGCTCCTTTAGTCAGTTACTTTGGTGTTCCTCCACCTCCAAAGAAATGTCAGAAGGAGTCCGAACCGCAAAAGAAGCGCGTATTCTCGGAAAAGTTGTTGCAGGAGGTGAGCTGGCTTCAAACAAATGATGAATGCACAGAGATGTGGTGCAGAATAAGCTGTGAAAATCCCACTCTAGCGGACAAAAACAGTGCCTTTTATATATACGCAAATGCGTGTTGCAACTTTTTATCTAGTGCACGTCTTTTATTTTGACAGCGAATGCGCACCTGCGGACCACTTATGTGCACCCCTGAATATATACAAAAACAAGACAAACCACACAATGGAAAAGGCACATTGTGAGGGACCAAGTGGCAAAGGCATTGAGGTCAAAGGAGAAATGTCTTCAAAATGCCTTGGAAATAGTGACAAGTTTGAGTATAAAGTCCATGTGTAGGTGCCTTGAGTGATGGAGGGTTACTCAGACCATGGCTCAGATTGATGAGGTGAGTGGGCAGGGTTAGGGTGTAGAGGGATAGTGTTTGCTAACAGTTTGAATGGCCCAGGGGAATAAGTTGTTTGTGAGTCTGGAGGTGTGGGATCTGACTGACCTGAGGCACAGACGAGAGGTCAACTGGTCAAACGGGTGGTGGGTGGGGTAAAAAAGGGTAAAAAGGATCTGGCAATGGCCTCCAGGGGTTGCTTTCTTTTCATCATCACCCTTCATCTCCGTTTGTCACGTCACATCTGCCCTTAACAAATAGGAAAAAATCCAGCCAGAAAAAATCCTGACAAAGCATCTGGCTGTTGACTTGATAAACAGTGAGCATATACAGCCATCTGTAAAACATGGTGAAGTCTCTGTCAGAGCTACATTTCAGCCAGTGGTGGTGGAGATCTTGTCAACTTTAATGTAATTATGAACACAGAAATGTGCTGACAGATTTTCTTATACCTTTCTATACCATCTGGAAAGCGCATGATTAGTAATCATTCACATTTTTCTGCATGACAATGATCCCAAACACACTAACAATGAAGTAAAAGCATACCCAGATTGGAAAACACACAGTGAAATACTATCAGGTCTCCTAGGAGCCCAAAGCTTAAGATTACTGAAGCAGTTTGGGATCATCTTGATAGAACAGAAGAAAAAGCAGCCAATATCCAAAGAAGAACATCGGAAGCTCCCTCAAGAACTATGTCTGAAGACTACTTAAAGAAATTCCAATGAAAGCTTGCCTAAGACATTTCAAGCTGTAAAATAAAGGTGGTCATACCAAATATTGACTAACTCTGCACAAACTCTGTTTTTGCCTTATACATTGTATTTCTATATATGTTTGCAGATGTCTCAATAAATCTCTCAATATTTAAAAAAAAATTTAAATATAAAAAGTGGCTCAACACTTTTGCAAGTATTATATAATGTTATATATTTTGTAAATTATAATGATACAATGCAAGACAGCCAAAGAGTATCCATATGTCTGTTTCTCTCCCAGACTTTCATTGTATTAAACAAAGGAAAGGTAATTTTTCGCTTCAATGCCAGTCGAGCCTTGTACCTCCTGAGTGCCTTCAACCCTCTACGAAGGCTATCAATTCAGATTCTAGTACACTCATATCCTTTTATTGGGATATGAATCTGATACGGATGAATAATGTTGATGCTGAGTTGTCTGCTGATGTAAGCCCAGGGTTTTGATGCATTCTCAATCATCCAGGAAAGTAAATCTCCAAAAGTTGATTCATGGCCATTGATCAGTGGTCTTTGATCAGTGGGTTTTGGTCAGAGGTTGATGATCAATGGTCATGAGAATTTGCATAATTAAGATTAAAGAACTGACCTCCCAGCCCATTGTTCCTTCAGTCATTATGCAAATGTACTGTTTATAAGATTGGGTAAAACTGCAGTCAGCTTGGATGAGTGACAAAACGCTATGTCCAGATGAACAGAATCAACTTTTGGAGATAAGCCCAGGGTTACATGTTCACATTGTTACTTTATTTATACGAAAAAAAAATACTTTCACAATAAAATCTGTTACTTCCTTGACAACTGCGTGTAAATTGTTCAACATGGTGATCATGTGCACTATTCTCACTAACTGTGCATTTATGACACTGAGCGATCCCCCTGACTGGGCAAAGAATGTGGAGTAAGTGTTCTACAAACATACATAACATACACACAGTGTAGATACTGTGAAGAGTAACTGGTGTTCCTTTTTCTAACAGGTACACATTTACAGCGATTTACACCTTTGAATCCCTCGTTAAAATTTTAGCTCGGGGGTTCTGTATAGGAAAGTTCACATTTCTAAGAGATCCCTGGAACTGGCTGGATT